TTAAATGCCATTTTTCTAAATTTTCTATATCTTTCTGTAAAGCAAGAATACCTTCATGTATATTTTCATGTTTGTGGGACAAATAATCATTTAAAAGGCAATTATCTTTATTTAGAGATTCGGCTTCTTTTTGTAGGTTTTCTAAAAAGTCATCAATAGCATATTTTGCTTTTTTATAAAATATATAATCCTCATCATCTGTATTTACAACTTCATAATTTGGAACTAATGAATCTTTTTTATATATATCAATACCTTTTCTATCATTCAATTCAACAACTAATTCTGATTTCCGTATAGTCTATAGATCATGTAAACTTGTAAAATTTAATCATTTGAAATTAACATTCTATTTCTTAGTACATACCTCAGTGGTTTTAGCAGGTATAATAAATCAGCGATTGAAGTAGTTTTTCTCTCTTATTCTTTTTTTATTAGATTGATTTAATTCTTGAACTTTAGATTGAAAAAAATTAATTTTTTCAAGAACAAAATTCATATTAGAACTATCATCAATCTGAACGATTTTATTCTTTCTATTAATAGAGTGTATTAGGATTGATTCTTCATTGCTGTTAATTGAAGGATAGTTTTGGATTGCTACTTTGGAATTTTCATTAAGTTGCGCAACCGTGCCATTATTTAAATCTTGCACTTGTTTGATTTTTCTTTCCGAGTCCGAGAAAAAGTTAACAATATGATTCTCATTTGGAGTTGGTAAGATTGCTTTATAAAATTGAAAATAAAATTGAATATAGTGTGTTTTAAATAAGTTGTTAATTGTTCTATTCAATCAGCAATATGGTTTATTGTCTATTCTTCCGTTTCTTATTTTTAAAATATAAGATTGACCATATTCAGAAAAGAAGGATTTGATGTGAAATGGATTACTAAAATAATTTATTGAAATGGGACCAGGAATACTAATAAAGAAGAATAAATTAAAATACAATTCTGTGGTGAAAGTTGGGGCTTGAAATTTATTTGTATATTTTCCAACTTTTAATTGGGCGATGCGATTATTATGTGTAAAATGGATTTCTTGAATTTGGTCATCCTTATGAATTTTTTTATAAGGATTAAAATTGAACTTAAATAAATACGTAAATAAATATGCAATTATTGGTTCTAAGCGGGAACGAAAAGTAAACTTCGTATCAGTAAAGAATCGGTTTCCAGTTAAATCAAAAATTTTTTTAAAGATTTTAAACAAAAAAGAAACCAAAAGTGCTGGCTTAAATTTATTGACGTTGATATCGTTATTGATAATTTTTTGAAATAATAATGCGACAGCAATATTTATAACAGAAAGAATAAATAAATTTGGAATAAATACTAAAATAAATACTGAAATGAATATTGCAATGGTTGATAAAAGAATCAATATGAGTGAAACAAAGGAGTAAAGAATCCCTTTAGCGATTCTTCGCAAAAGATTCAGAGTTAAATAAATAAAATATTCTGATATCATTTTGAGTACAATTGATTAGGAGCTGAATTTTCATGTTCCTTTTAATACATTTTGTCGTAAATGAACTTGTTCAAATAAGGATAATTAATTTATTTTTGTTTTTTTTTTTAATTTATGCCATCTTCGCCGCGGTTATTCGTATTACCTATATTACAAAACATTAAAATGAAACTCCGAGTTCTGTATGATGTACAGCATTTTATTATAACGGTTAATAATATTACAGTATAATATATAAAGCAGATCTGTTACGCGTTAAAACATATCAGATATCATAATTTTTAATTAAAGAATTTTTCAGCCTAAAGAAAATTTGCAAAAAAATAATTTATCTATTGCTAAGAATTTCAATTATTCGCACGCTATTGCAAAAGGCTTTGTTCAAGGGTAAATATGCTTGTTCGAATAAGGAAATAATTAATTCATATTTGTTTTAATTTATGCCATCTTCGCCGTGGTTATTCATATTACCTATTTTGCAAAACATTAAAATGAAACTCTGAGTTCTGTATAATATACAGCATTTTATGATAATGATTAATATATTACAGTATATATAAAGCAGATCTGTTACGCAATTATACACGTTAAAACATATCAGGTATCATAATTTTTTAAAGAATTTTTCAACATAAAAAAAAACATGAAAAAAATAAATACTACGGAACAATCAATCAAATTCCAAGAAAGGTGTAAGGTGAACAGAAATTTATCTGCTGCTAAAAACCTCCATAAGTGCACCCCTATAAGTGCACACCCTCTCTAAATGCAATCAACTTCGGGCCCAAATATATATATGACCTCCATAAACGCACTTTTTCTTATTGTTCTCTAAGTGCATTAAAGTTCGGTTCCAAGAGCGTGCACTTATGGAGGTTCTATTGTACAAAGTTTCCAATCCTTCGCGCGCTATTGCAAAAGGCTTTGTTCAATGATAAATGCGCTTGTTCAAATAAGAAGACAATTAATTCATTTGCCACGGTTATTCGTATTACCTATTACAGAACATTAAAACCAAGTCATGTATAATATACAGTATTCTTTGATAAGGTTATAAATTATATCGTATATAATGCTGATCAGTTACGCAGAACATGAAATGAATACATATATATACAGCAAATAGCTATAATTTTTTGAAAGACTACAAAAATTATAAAACTCTCAAGAAATTTTGTACTTGCAATACTATTCTGTTTTTTATATTTATTCTTGAAGCTTTTATCTTAATTATGATTTGGCAGTTAAGTATTCTTTATTTCCTAAATTGATATATAGAGTTCGAACTGATTTTATCGATTTTTTATAGGATCAAGCGGTCGATGTATTCATATTTATATACTGATCCTTACGAGCCAGTTGTGCATGGAACTTTTGGAGTCGGCCAATCTGAAACTTTGTATATGTTTATGATTCAAAATATAAAAGATTTTATTGCTGAAATAATGGCTGGAAGTCGTGGATTCGGGCACACAGATTATGGTGGGTTAGTTTCATATTAAAGATAATTATTGAGGTTTTTGTCATATTTATGATTTGGCTGTTAGTATTTTTTTATCACTTTAATTGATATATAGAAGTTCAAATTAATTATTATCAATTATTATAGGGTCAAAAAGTCGAAACACTCATATTTGTATATTGAGCCTTACGAGCCGATTATACATAGAACTCTTGAGATCGACTAACCTGAACCTTGGGAGTTTGTAATACGAATTATAGAAGATTTAATACAAATTATAAAAGTTTTTTTTTACCGTAGTTATCAACGGAAGTAATGGATTTGGACATCCAGATTATGATGGGTTAGTGCCGATATAAATATTAAAAACAAGTATGTCTAAAGCCTTTATTCTTTTTAATGAAGCAAATGAAGGAGATAGAAAAATATCTATTGGATTAACCATTATTTTAAAACCTAATTTTAATTTTTTTTCTTTTTTAATAAAATCCTTTCTCTTTATTGAAGACAAATACTTTAAACGCTAATAAAACGATAGATAATACCGTATTTTATGGGCCAAACCACCCCCCTGTCGGATTATGTGAATATTTCAATGGTGCATATCGGGATCAGAATCGTATTGTTATACTATAATGTGCACATAGAAATTTCCGTATAACCCATAATTGTTTTATATGACAGGGAGTGGTTTTGCCCATCGTATACAGTAGTAAGGATATTCAAAAATCTTTCCAAATTTATATAATGGTATTCGCCTTCATGCAGATTTAGGTATCACATATATGTAGGGAATATTACGTATTGTACGAACAACTTTCGAATTTAAGAACTCTCTCCACCATTCCTTCATAATGAGTGATAATGATATCGAATCCGAATCATCTATTAATAAAGAACATTCTTTAACAAATTCTGATACAAAATGGATGGAATATTACAAAGAACGGATTCAATCACCAGCAGGTCATTATGAAAAAAAACCTACTGTGCCTGACTCAGTAGACCCTGTTAAATAGAAAAATTATCGAGAAGAGCTATCTAATTTTTTAGAATATATGAATCTAGTTCCAGTTTTTTCTGAACTTATTCTTATCGATAAACTATTAGAAGATTTTCCAAATGAGTCCGATCAAAAGATAATCGATGAATATAAAAAAACTGTAGAAGATAAAAATAGACTCAAAACAAAGCATTCAAGAAAGGAAGAGAATAATAATCAGAAGAAAAAGAGTGATATGTTTTATCAAAGAAAAGGAAAACATAGTCGTAATGTCAAATTCGTTAAAAATTTGTTAACAGCAACATGAAAATTAGGAAATGATGAATTTAGAAAAAAATTTTTTAATCGGGCAAAATTTCCTATGTCTATATTGACTGATAAGGACATTACACCAATAATAGATGAGTTTAAGGGGTTATTTAGGGATTTTCAAATTTAATTTGTTATTTTAACATTTTTTTATGATTAGTAATTTGTATGTATAAGTAGATTAAGATAATTTGTATATGATTTATAAGGTTAACAAAATAAGTTTTGTACAAATTAAGAATAATAACTTAATGTGTATGAAAATAATTTTTACAACATTTTATCTAAGTAATAAAGCTTTTTTAGTATTTGTCTAAGTTAGAACTTTATTATAATTAATTTTTAACAAACTTGTAACCTAATGCAGTTTTTCTAAAAAAAATTTTTCTTAATCTGACCTAGAGTTTGAAACCGGTTTTATTTCATTTGTAAAAATAAAACCGGTTTCCAACTCTAAAAAATAGCTATGCTAGTAGTTAAGTGATCCAAAAACTAATAGCTAATATAAATTGTACTCTAACATACAGTAGTTTTAGATTAACAATTTATATTAACTATTAGATTTTGATCACTTAATAAGTTTGAACTTAGTTCAATCTTATCCGACTCCAGAAGTCGAGTAAGTATCAGACTGAGTTTTTGATCACAACAGTATATTCCTGACTTTTTTTCAAATGGTCTGATTCTAAATTTAGTAATATTTGTCCAAGACTTGTAACCTGATGCACAGAGTTTTGCAGATGGCGTTAACCGGTATTTGTGTATGAGAATTTTATTACAAATTTTAATTAATATTTGTCCAAGATTTGTGGCCTTATGCACGAGTTTTGCAGTTGACGCTAAGAGATATTCGTGTATGAGAACAGACAAGCAATTTCAACAAAACTTGTGACCTAATGCGGAATGCAGGAGATGTTTGTGTATGAGAACCTATTACACAAAGAAAAACATGTGCAAGAAAAGCACCAATAGAACTTTAATAAAAATCAATTAATAAATATTTGTCCAAGATTTGTTACCTAATGCACGGAGTTTTGCAGATAGTGTTAACTGGATATTTGTGTATGAGAATTTTATTACAAATTTTAATTAATATTTGTCCAAGATTTGTGGCCTTATGCATGAGTTTTGCAGTTGACGCTAACAGAGATATTCGTGTATGAGAACAGACAAGAAATTTCAACAAGACTTGTGACCTAATGCGGAATGCAGGAGATGTTTGTGTATGAGAACCTATTACACAAAGAAAAACATGTACAAGAAAAGCACCAATAGAACTTAAATAAAAATCAATTAATAAATATTTGTCCAAGATTTGTGACCTAATGCACAGAGTTTTGCAGATGGCGCTAACCGGATATTCGTTATGAGAATTTTATTAAAAATTTTAATTAATAATATTTGTCCAAGATTTGTGACCTTATGCACCAAGTTTTGCAGTTGACGCTAACAGAGATATTCATGTATGAGAAAAAAAACAAGAAATTTCAACAAGACTTGTGACCTAATGCGGAATGCAGGAGATGAGAACCTATACACAAAGAAAAACATGTAAAGAAAAGACCAATAGAACTTTAATAAAAATCAATTAATAAATATTTGTCCAGGATTTGCGACCTAATGCACGGAGTTTTGCAGATGGCGCTAACCGGATATTCGTGTATGAGAATTTTATTAAAAATTCTAATTAATAATATTTGTTCAAGATTTGTGACCTTAATGCCCCGAGTTTTGCAGTTGACGCTAACAGAGATATTCGTGTATGAGAACAAACAAGACTTGTGACCTAATGCGAATGCAGGAGATGTTTGTGTATGAGAACCTATATACAAAGAAAAACATGTACCAATAGAACTTTAATAAAAATCAATTAATAAATATTTGTCCAAGATTTGTGACCTAATGCACGGAGTTTTGCAGATGGCGCTAACCGGATATTCGTTATGAGAATTTTATTAAAAATTTTAATTAATAATATTTGTCCAAGATTTGTGACCTTATGCACCGAGTTTTGCAGTTGACGCTAACAGAGATATTCGTGTATGAGAACAAACAAGAAATTTCAACAGGACTTGACCTAATGTGGAATACAGGAGATGTTTGTGTATGAGAACCTATACACAAAGAAAAATATGTACCAATAGAACTTTAATAAAATCAATTAATAAATATTTGTCCAAGATTTGTGACCTAATGCATGGAGTTTTGCAGATGGTGCTAACCGGATTCGTGTATGAGAATTTTATAAAAATTTTAATTAATAATATTTGTCCAAGATTTGTGACCTTAATGCCCGAGTTTTGCAGTTGATGCTAACAGAGATATTCGTGTATGAGAACAAACAAGAAATTTCAACAAGACTTGTGACCTAATGCGGAATGCAGGAGATGTTTGTGCATGAGAACCTATACACAAAGAAAAACATGTACAAGAAAAGCACCAATAGAACTTTAATAAAAATCAATTAATAAATATTTGTCCAAGATTTGTGACCTAATGCACGGAGTTTTGCAGATGGTGTTAACCGGATATTCGTGTATGAGAATTTTATTAAAAATTTTAATTAATAATATTTGTCCAAGATTTAGTTGACCCTAACAGAGATATTCGTGTATGAGAAAAAAACAAGAAATTTCATCAAGACTTGTGACCTTGTATGAGAACCTATACACAAAGAAAAACATATACAAGAAAAGCACCAATAGAACTTAAAAATCAATTAATAAATATTTGTCCAAGATTTGTGACCTAATGCACGAAGTTTTTTAGATGACGATAACCGGATAATTTTGTCTAAGATTTGTGACCTTATGCAGTTGGCGCTAACCGAGATATTCGTGTATGAGAACAAACAAGAAATTCAACAAGACTTGTGACTGCAGGAGATATTTGTACAAGAAAAGCACCAATAGAGCTTTATTAAAATTTTAATTAGTCAATTGTGACCTAACGCACGGCGTTTTGCAAATGGCGTGTTTGAACAATAAATTTCAACAAGGCTTGTGTCCTAAAGCGGAATGCAGGAAATAAGAACACACAAACATCTCCTGCATTTTGCATTAGGTCACACGAATATCTCGGTTATGCCATCTGCAAACTCCGTGCATTAGGTCACAAATCTTGGGCAAATTTCTATTGGTCATTAGGTCACAAGTTTTGTTAAAAAAACTCCGTGCATTTAGATTACAAATATTATTAAATTTATTCTCTTGGTTCACAATTGACTAATTAAAATTTTTTAATAAAGTTTTATTTATGGTACATATTTTCTTTAATAATTTTATAGAAAATTTTTTGAAAATCTGGTCCGGCCCAGTCACTAAACTAACTGTTCCAACAGTCATTTCGGAACAGGTTCCGACTGGTCTAGGACAGGTCTTTTTGTGCCTTATTAATTAACATTAAATCGGAGCGAGAACTAAGCAAATTTTCTAACTTGTCGTGATTTATCTACAATATTATTCGTTTATGTTTTGTTTTTTTTTGTTTCATATAATATCTTTAGGGAACTTAAATAAATTATCCAGAATATATCTTCACTAAAAATGCTATAGTACACAAGGAATTGAATATGTTTTTTCGATAATTCAAGGGAAGTTAAAATATTATTTTTTTGTTATTTGTTCATATATTCACTTATACACTTTTTTACAAATAATTTATGAGCCGGCCTATTTTAAAAATTAATGGAGACTGTGTCTCGGTGAGGCCATTCATTATGATTGTCATTCTAATAGGCCGGTGTAGTATTAATGAAGACTGTGTCTTGGTGAGGCCGTTCGTTATTACTACAAGTGTTTATAATTGTCTTGTATGATGATATATTAAAAATCTGAAAATTTGAGATATACAACAATTACTTCATAATTTATTTATACAAAATTGAGATTAACACAAACTTTCTGTTTAATTATATTCATCTGTATCCATATTATGGTCGAGACGGAAAGCATCTGTATCCATATTATGGTCGAGACGAAAAGCATTTTGTCTTGTCAACATCGGCATTCCTAAAATCTGAAGCGTAAGTAAATAAGAAAATTAACAAATTGGTAGAGAATATTTTACCTCTTTCACCTCTTTCACTTTGTTCTACTCTTTCCTGTAAATTTCTTATTTGTACATTTTGATTAGCAATCCTATTCTTGCCAAGCCTTCTCCTGACTTCAAGATCCTGACGAAGACGTTGGTTGTCATCGTGAAGTTCACTGATTTCTCGTTGGGCTCCTCCTATTACTTCACCACAACGTGACTTAGAAATTGGTTTTCATAGCGCAGTCTATTGATTTCTTGTTGGCACCCTATCGGCATTCTTTCTTGATGGTTTCTTAACATCGGTCTTGAATTTCCTAATAACAAGCATTAGTAATTAAGAATATTATCAAGTTAATAAAGAATATATTACCCCCTCTATTTCTTTCTAATTGATCTTGGTGGCGTCCTATCGGCATTCTTTCTTGATGTAATATTGGTCTTGAATTTTCTAATAAATCTTGTAAATTTCTTATTCGTATATTTTGATTAGCAATCGTAATCCTGTTAAAGTTTCTCGCAATTTCGAGGTGATGACTAAGGTGTCAGTTTTGATCGCAAAGTCTAGTGATTTCTTGTTGGTGCTGTTCAACCAGATTTTTATAATGATTCCTTTCACTATGAAGATTTCTTATTAATTAAGCCACGAATGTTCGTGTAATTTTATTTTCATCTATGCTCTTTTTAAATTCATTGCTTTCTTCAATAAGTTTGTCTATACACTCCTTTAATTCATCTCTTTCTTTAATGATTTTTTCTAATTCTTCCAAATTTGTTTCTAAATTTTCGCCATTTATTCCATTTTCTTTGAAGAACCGTTCAACTCGTTTTTTTTCTCTCTGTAAGTATTTGATGTGTTCGGTAAGAAAATTATCAAGCTCCTCTTTCAGAGTCAAATCGCTGGAACGAGTATAACGTTGATGTTTCGCGCGAGTCATACTTCTTGGTTGTGTTAATTTCAAGATTTCAAGAAGTCGATTATAAATTATTTATACTTATACCATTAATAAATAATAGCAATTAAATATATATTTCAATATAAAAATATACTTAAATTAAAATGTTCTGTAAGATGTAATTGTTTATTTTTTTATTAATAACCTATAATAAACA